AGTACGTACAACAAGTACGAGCTACTGTAGGAGCCATCCATGGATCCCAACGGGCGGGTGCATGGTGTAGAGGTACCTCCCGTGTCCAGCCCAATGCATCCATGTTGAATCCACTTCAGACAAGGCAAGAGCAAGTGCGACCTCACTGCACCTTCTCTGAGACCAAGCTGGGGCACAGTAGTGTGATAGGAGAATAAGAAGGCTGCCCTCCCTCCCTCCTTCCTCGGGTGCTGTCCAGTTTCTCTTGATTCTTCCCGTCTCGAGAGACTCGTTCACTCGTCGCACCGCGTTCAGGATCCATCAGTCTCAAGTTCCACGAGGATCCTCAACCACCATCACCATGGGTATGTCTATCATCTATCATCCCTTCGTTGCCTACATCTACACCACATAATTACTCACACAAATCCTAGCGGAGACAAACACCACCATCCCGACCGTCGCCGGCCCCATCAGCGAGGTGCGCTCGTCACAAGACGTCAAGGGGCCTCCCGCCTACGCCAACGCGGGCCGGGATAGCCTCAACGGCGGCGATATCCACGAGGAATACCATGGCCTTGTCCTGCCCACCGAGGAGGAAAAGAAAACCCTCCGCCGTGTGGCCGGCAAAATGCCTGCCGCATGCTACTACCTCTGCGCCGTCGAGTTCGCCGAGCGTGCCTCGTACTACGGCTGCTTCCAGGTCTACAAGAACTTCATCCGTGCTCCTCTGCCCAAGGGTTCCACTACCGGTGCCGCCGTCCTCGACAAGAACGATACCGCCGGCGCTCTCGGCAAGGGCTCCGTCACTGCCACCGCCATGACCGAGGCCTTCAAGTTCCTGTCCTACGCCCTTCCCATCTTCTTCGGCTGGCTTGCCGATACCAAGTATGGTCGTTTCCGCATGATTTGCCAGGGTGTCGCCATTTGCGGTGTTGCCCACATCATCATGATCATCTCGGCCCTTCCGCCTGTCCTCACCTCGGGTAACGCTATCGGTCCCTTCGCTCTCTCACTCTACATGCTCTCCATTGGTGCCGCCCAGTTCAAGCCCAACATTTCGCCCACCGTCATGGACCAGTCACCCCACAAGGTTGCCCATGTCATCGAGCAGGACGGCGAGCGCGTCATTGTCGACCCCGAGGAGTCTCTCAACAGCGTCATGTTGTGGTTCTATCTTCTTATCAACATCGGTGCCTGCTTCGGTATCCCCACCACCTACCTGGCCAAGCTTGTCGGTTACTGGGCCGCCTACCTGATTCCCACCATTCTCTACCTGCTGCTCCCTCCCCTGCTGTGGTACCTCAACCCCAGACTCGTCAAGCAGCCCCCTGGTGGTTCCGATTTGGGCAACGTCTTCCGCGTCCTTGGCGACTGCTTCGCTCATGGTGGCCTTCGCTCCATCGGCCGCAAGGGTTTCTGGGAGGCTGGCAAGCCCAGTGTTCGCGCTGCTGCTGGTAGCACCAAGGTTTACGGCTATGATGATCAGTTTGTTGAGGATGTCCGCCGTACCTTCCAGGCTTGCGGTATTTTCCTCTTCCTTCCCATCTACTACATCAACGACGGTGCTCTCGGTGCTGCAGCCAACGCCCTCTCCGCCGGTATGAGAACCAACGGTGTTCCCAACGATTTGCTCGACAACCTCAACTCCGTCACTATTGTCCTTCGTACGTTTCCCCGTGATCACCTTATTACCGAATAGAATTAAGCTAACCAACCATGCAGTCGTTCCTACCATGAATCACGTCATCTACCCTCTCATGCGAAGAAAGGGTATCCGCTGGGGTCCCATCTCGCGCATGACCTTTGGCTTTGCTCTCTGCACCATTGGCTCCATTGGCTTCCCTCTGCTCCAGCACTACGTTTACAAGACCTCTCCTTGCGGCAACTACGCCACTACCTGCCAGGAGAACTCCCCTGAAGGTGTGGATGGTCTCTCTTCCGTCTCATACGGGTACTACGCCATTCCCATCATCATCACTGCTGCCTCCGAGATCTTCGTCAACGTTACTGGCTACACCATTGCCTACTCCCGCTCCCCCAAGAACATGAAGGGTCTCGTCAGCTCCATCAACTTGTTCATGACCGCCATCAGCGCCGCCATTGGTCTTGCCACCTCCAGCGCTATTCAGGATCCCTACCTAGTCTGGGCTTTCGCCGGCCCTACCATTGCCGGTGGTGTCTTTACCATTGTTTTCTGGTTCATGTTCAGGCACCTCAACAACGAGGAGTTTGTCATCAACACCGACTTCGGTGACATGGTGCGGGATTCTGACAACAGCAGTGATGAGGAGGCCAACAAGCACGGCGTCAAGGGCCAGGATACCATTACCCAGGTTCCTGCCCCTCAGCCTGTGACTCTCAATGAGAAGAACTAAGCGGGATATGGCATTTTCTTTTTGTCGCAATTACAATGATACCACGGTGAAGAAGAAAGGGAGGGGGGTGCAGAGGACCGGGAAATGGTCTCTGCTTGGATATCCAAGACTCGCGATGATACCTAATGTTATTCATGGAGTTATGTAGCCAGGTAGCTGGTTGTGTATGTACAGTTGCCGTTGGTAAGCATGATGCAATGAGCGTCTACATAGACAAAGAAGTAATGATAAACACTGTCAAGACAATGATTAGTCCCTGATTTTAATGCTTTGTTTGTCGTACGTATACGGGTTTTTCACGTGCGGAACCTCTTCACTTGTCCGCTTATTCCCGGACAAAGACATATTGTGTTCGTTGTGTGCAGCGATGAGGATAACTCAAGTTGCCAAGCCAAGTTCAAGCAATCAAGCAAATATAATCAATCAATTCGAGGTCCCTCGTAGAGTTGACTAAGCAATTAAAGGTCGTCAACTTGATTGACATTAATTGGCCGCCCGGGGGTTAGGGTTAGAGGTGTACCTATTTACCCCTGAAGATCGCCACCCCAACTACCCAACGCTCAGACCTACCCCCATCTCAAAATTTTTTGGTGTCTTACAGTGTCCTCAATTACTTGATCAATCAAGCAATCAATCAATTCAAGTCGGTTACTTGACCTACTCAATCAACTTCAAACCCTTATTTGATTGAACTTGAGTTATCCTCATCGCTGATTGTGTGATCGACCTACAGGACTTTGAATGTCCTTGTCTGATGGCTTGCTTAGAGCAAAAAGCAAATGATTGTTTGACGTTTGCTTCGGCCATCCGGGTTAGAAAACCCAAAGACGCAATTAAGCAATCTTTGTCGTCGGCCTTTGAGACTACGTACAGTTCAATTGACCTATCAGGAGGAGCTTTCGAGTCGTGTGATGTCTGTTACACGTCTAGAACAACAAACCATTGAACAACCCTCCTTTTTCGAGATCAAGATGTCAATCCTTCGACGCCGAAGACAATTCGTTGGACAAGGATACTCGCTACTCGCTAGCAATGGTAGGTATAAAAAGACCCCGTAGGATCTCTACCTACCATCATTGCATGCGTCTAGTTCGTACCTAGTCACCATCCGCATCACCAATCACCATCCACACACACGTCTCGCTACTTGCCGCCGCTTTCGAACAGCCAGAATAATGGAAAGAAGAAAAAACCAAAAGACATTGATGAGCAAAATGCACATGGGCCTGGAGAGTTACTACACTTACACGCCTACTTACCACCCTTCTGGAGCAGAGAGGGTGAACAAGGCGGGGGATATACCGACTTCTAATCCGTTTGGATTGGGGTCTACTACAGATGCAAGTAGCAGCGGTGATAGCAGCGGTAATGGTGGCTTTGGGGGTAAGTCTGGTTCCTTGACTACCTCTACGTCTGGAGGGGAGGGCGGGAGCTTGGGGTTGGGGTTAGAGAGTGAGACGATATCTAATACCAGTACTGGTACGGGGGACGGGAGTGAGAAGAAGTAGATTATGTGTCTACCAAGGAGTACCTATAGGAAGCTAGGGGTGTAGGGGTTCAAGGTTAAGGGGATTCGCGGAGATACGAGGTTGAGGTCTGTGTGAATTGGGAGGAACTGGAAATAGAATACGTAGCTGGAAATGGTACTGTACATGCCTGGCGAGATTGGAAGTTTGTGTTCGTGTCTGTTTATGGCAACTTTAGTACATCGTGATTGAAATCATCAAATGAGGCCGGGGGGGGGGTTGATTGGGTTCGTTATGGCCATTGTTCTTTCCGAACTTGCGTTTGTTTCTGCTATGGATGCTACCGAGGAAGCGAGGTGGATAGGTGTAGCTGTAATCGTTGGCGAGGCAAGAGCAAACGTCTTATCCCGCTCCGGACACACCGGCACCTCGGTGTTCTTCGCTGCTCTGCGTCGATTACCACCTTCAAAGGTGAAAAATGAGGTCAACCAATCAAGACCAGGAAACAGAACGACGAAGTTTTGGAGAGCAAACGTTGTGATAGTCTAGGCTCCCAACGAAGTTTTAACAATCGAACAACGGATCCGAAGACAGGATGGATATAATCAATGGACACAGCCAACAATCAACCGTCGTTAACAGGTAGGTGGCTCTGTTCACATTGGCTGTCATCACTTTCTTCTCGTTCCGAATTGGCAACACCCGAGGTTGTGTTACTGCATCGCTTCGGAATCACGTTTTTGGGTTCAACCAGCCGAGTTTCGCATGATGTGAAGCACAGAGATGTTGTTGGCGGCAAACTGTTTGGACTTCTTTGGGATGACAGTAGAAACGCCTTATCCTCGAACCATTCATTGGTTCCCATAGCGGTAACACCACGTTCACGGGATAAATCAATGACCAGCATGTCGTTTCACCAAACTTTGAGAACTGCCAACGGTTGTCGAAACTACAAACGCACAACGGTCAAACCCAACCTTGAGTGACCAGAGCGACGTTCGTAAGAGGTATAACTACCCCTCCTCTCCTCCCCTTCATGTTCGGCTTCTCTTCTGCATCATCATCATCATCATCAGCATAACATCCACATCCACATTTCCACCACAACCAAGCAAATCACAAAATCACACCACACACACTCACGACTTGTCAACCTCCAAAATCAAAAACCACCAAAATGTCCACCACCACCACCTCCGCCGCTCCCACCGGCACTGAACAGCCCCAGGAGACTGTCTCCGCCCCCGTCCAGACGACTACCACTACTACCGTCGTTACCACCACCATTGAGCCTGCTCAGGCTGCCGCCGCCGCCGCTGAGAAGAAGGAGGAGGTCCAGGAAGTCAAGAAGGACAGCAAGGATACTACTACCAAGCAGTAGGAAGAGGTGCAGGGGCCATGATCCAGCACATCCACGCCGGATCTCAGGAGGATCGCAGTCACCTAGACATTGGCCTGACAAGGAAGGAGAAGGGTGGAGGAGTGACATGATGGAGTGATGGAGGGGTTGGTTTTTTGGCGAGAGGGACTCATGAGGGAATAAGTATTGGAGGAGGATAGGATATGGTGAGGGCTGGTAGAGGTAGGAGTGGGCGGGAATCATGGGTGGACTTGAAAGAAAGAATAGTAGCAAACGGAAATGAAGACGTGCGTGCGATTATGGGCGTTGTGATTCCAGTTGACATGACTGTGAACTATGTGATTTTCCCTTGTGACATTGATTGAGCGAAGCCAAAGAAAGTCAACAAGGCATGATATAGTGGAGATGAAGCAGAGCGAGTTGACCTTTGTTGTTCGTCTCTTGCGGTCTGCTTGCACGTGAGTTCCACGTTCTGTGAAAATGGACTGACTACAGGTAGGTAGGTACCTTGTCTTCCTTGTTATTAACAGGTAGGTAGGTCAAAGTCAAGATCCAGTCCGTACCTGTTTTTCATGACCTACAATAGTCATAACACGTAATTGTTTCATTCATTTCATTTGACCGTTTCCCATTAAAACATTCAGCATCGGGTAGGCAAGTCACTGGACTGTTACCTAGGCGCTAAATCAAGAATCTTGCCTCCAACCCATAATCATACCCGACGGGAACCATCTTCACGGATCGTCCAAATGGATAGATAAACGGTATCTATTATTTCCCAGCCGTTCCTGTACGCTGCTGCGCTGCATATGCCCTGTAGCCCGTGGGACAGTCCCTAATAGCGAGGAAGAAGTTGAATCTTAGAGGGTTCAGAAAAGACTGCACATAGCAAGGATTCAAATATCCCGGTGAGTGAAAAGGATGTGTAAGGTGCAAATAGTGTTCTAGGTATTTTGGCCGGGTATTTGAGTTGTCTTTCTGTCCTTTGTCTTTTTTTTTTCAATTTCTTTTTTCTTTTTTCTTTTTTTTTGTTATTGTTGTCATAATCTTCTTCCTCTTCTCCAATTAATCCTCCTCTAACTCCAAAGAACCCTTTGTACTATAAGCACCACGCACCGGCTGCAGATGACACAGTGAATGAAAGTGTTGATGTGGGAAAATCTCGGCTTATGCGGCCATAACGAGCTTACGTGCCTTACCGAGCGCCAGGTAACCTGCAGGATAAACGACATATGTAGGTAGCCATTGGCCACTTTCCTACCAACCATGTTAGGACACGATTGAATCCCGGACTGGGCACCATTAGCCAGGCGTGCTGTGAGGGTAGAGTACCAGGGATATATCTGATATTTCCCCTTCCTCTTTCACGACCTATGTTTACTTCTCCTTTCCACCTGTCAAATTCCGTGTGCATTCCCCGTTAATCCAGTCAAAATCACCTCATTCAACCACCATGACAGCAGTCTTTTGGCATATCGTTTCCCCCGACCATCCCACCGCATCACTGGTCCTCCCACCTAAGCTGTTCTACGTCCGGCACGGCCGTTCACAAGCCTACCCAACCGCCGATGGCGGATTCGTTTCCCCACGCAGAAAAATGGGGTCGCAGAGCTTGTCCTGGGTTTCCCGTCACAGTCTACGCATTGGACACGCAAAGACTGCCGCCGGGCACTTTGGTGCTGAATGCCTTCATGCTGTGCATTGCTCTCGGAATCAAAAACGCGTACAATGAAAAGGGCAAGGATGAGTTTCTCTTCTACAAGGGCATACCGGGCAGTTGTGTGGAGAGCAGCTGGGACCCGTGGGGGTATTGTCCCCCTCAGATTGGGTCTCATCCCCCAATGCGTAGAGGTAAGTGGAAGTTCATGGCGGTATGACTTTGGGTATATAACTGCCCGAAGTTGAAGAGGGTTTAAAAGTTGAAGTTCCCAAAAGGCTAACGAGGCTACCGGACGCAAACACAGGCTTCTTAAGCTCCTGGGTCGACATTGTAAAAGAAGCCGAAATAGCACAAACCATATACCAAGTCCAGACCAGCAGCACTTCCTGGACCACAAACAGCAGTTTTTCGGCTAGTCCTGCCGCCGCCGCCGCCGCCACTGCTGCTTCTGCGCGTGAAACTCTAGATGGGCTTATGAGGGAAGAGGGAAGATTGCGGCAGGAACTAGAGGAATTAGAGGAGCGCCAACAAAAGTCCATTGTTGAACTCAACAACCTCAACAACGACGCCGACGCCGACGCCGACGCAGTCTACGACCCAAACGCGGTAGATGTAGATGACGTGTGCGACCTAGCCGGCCAAATGGAGAAGGTATTGGACCTCAGCGGCACAAACAGGGTCGATGTCAAAACCCGTAAGACAAGGAGAAACACACCCCGAACACCGAGAGCGTTCGAAATCCATTTTCGACGTCATCCAGGAGTTGTATATCCCAGTCTTGAATCATATCCCTGCTTTAGCTTTCTCAAAAATAAAAGTCCCCTGAACCCAACACTTCCGACACCATCGACGACGCGGACGTGAACAACCCAACCGGGGCGGACGGGCAGATGAAGATGTTGGACGCCGAAACCAACCTTGACGCCCAGAGCCGCACAATACCGGAGGTAGATACAGCGGGAAACACCGTCACGACTATGACCGAGGCCACGAATACGGGCGGCAGTGCTCCTGCCGGTGATGCAACGGGACCTTGAAGAGGGAAAAGCGTCGGTCTCTGGTCATGGTCATAGGGCGGGCGCAAAGACAAGCAGAAGAGAACGAACCTCGAAGATGGAAGGAAATGGACCAGGAGGCTGAAGTGACAAACGGGAAGTACGCTGGGAGAATTGGAGGAGTTCGAGAATCCGGGATTTTGGGGGTTGTCATGGTGTTGGTTGATGTTGCAGTGAGGATGTGGATTGTTTGTTGCCGATGTGGAGGTATGATGGTGTGGTGGTGATCTTGATGGAAGCTGCGGATGAGAACTGCGTGGTGATGTGTGAGGTGACGACACCACGACACCAACATGTTCATGGGTCCAAGGGGCCAACAGGCAGGAACAAAAAAGGTAATCATCGATTTTTGTGTCAAATGACCAGTGACCCGTTAATTTGCTCTTTCCCCCGGAGAGGAAATTGGGACTTTGGTTACGCGCCTTGGGGAACTTCGCTAGCGTGCATGTAGCGATGCCGTGAAAGCCCAGAAGATGCACAATGTCATGCGGATTGCCTGTACTGAAGAAGGGAGTGCGTATTCAGGTATTGTACCTACGACTTCGGAATCCGGACATACTGGGATACTATGAACCGAGCTCCTCATTCAGATAGGTATAGCCCTCTGTACTTTTATTCTTCTCACTCAAACTAAGGACTTGGAAGGTGCAATGGGGCTTGTGGATTTTGGGGGGCTTTGCTGCAGTATTAACCAGTGGTCACGGTGAGGAACCGTTAGGTAGCCTGATCAACCAACCTACTCCCTCTGATCCTTTCCATTAACCGTGAGCACCAACGAGCATTGGTTGCAGAATTCTCACTAGCTCTCCAATCCCTTCCGTTTCCCGACCCTTCTTTGTCCCTCCAAATCATTGACTTCCAACAGTCCCGTTGCTTGAAGTCCTAACACAATGAAACACGAAGATCTCGACAAATGGGCAGTTCCTCACGACCAGCTTCCTCGCAGACTGTTCTTCGTTCGACATGAATACTCCCAGTGCGGTTCTGAAGACGAGTGGAACTCTGACATGGAAGGCGACGGCCCTGCCAGCGAACTGGGCATGATGGGCGGACTTACAGCTGCGTGCCCAAAGGCTATAATCTGTTGTCTTCACGAGATAACCAACATCGTCGACCTCTATCGTAAGATGAAGAGACACCTCAAATGGACCAGCAGTCGCCCTTCTTGCTTTGTCTCCACGTTCGGAAACTTCCACGATGCTGTTCTCTGGGGTGGGCAACTCCCTGGCATCGTCAGGATCTACAGCATTGACACTACAAAGCTTCCTCCGATAGCCTTCGTACATGTATTCCGCCCTTCCGACTTCAACATGTTCTGGCGCAAGGACGAGTACTTGTTCCTCCACCAAATTCCGGAGCGTGGTATTGAATGCTTCGTTGTCCTTCCGGATTACTTGAAGACAACGCGTGAGTACTGAGTAGCATCATACCTCTGGCAAAGACTACTAATGCCTCCGTATTTCAATGGACGATGTAACTGACGACGCTTGATTAGCTCCATCCCTTCCGCAATCCATGGACCAGTCATCGCCCGATCCTGAACCGTCACGAAAGAATGGAAAAAGGAAGCGAGAGGAAGGTGTTGGCTCCGACAGAAAAACAAGGCTACGAACAAACGCGGGGAACAATGAATGTGTAGTACCTACAAAAGAAGATGGTAATGAAGAAGAGTGATCCCAGCCGGCTGTCAAGCAATTGGTAGCACAAGACTTTACCTGTTGGAAATCGCCGATGAGTGTATTATGGAACGTTAAGGTATATCAATAACAGTTCTTCGTCCATCTGTTGGGAAACGGAGCACCAGCAACAATACATGAGCGTATTTTGGAGGGATTCAAGCCACTCAAGTCAGATGCACTCGCTGATGCAAGGATTCCGAGTACAATACTCCAGGAAGTGAACCATGCTATAGACGACGAAATCCAGATGAAGTGACATCCGCCAACCTGAGAGGTTTTCAATCGAATTTGATCCAACGGCGAGCGTGCAGAGGCATGTGTACCTAGGGATTGGCTTGTAAGAATGGCTAGTCTGTGGCGACGGAGGATGTTCAATCACCAGAGCGAGAAGTGGTAATGCTTCAGGTCAGTTTTTGTACATGTAGCAACTCGGGAGTTGGCACAATGTGAGATTGGGAAAAATGGTAGTAAGCGTGTAATGCCGTAGAAACTCACCAGATTGGCAAACCCTCTACCGCCAGGAAATTACGTTATCTGGGCAGAATAAGCACAGTCCTGTGAGACTCAGGTTTGGCTTCCTGTACAGAAATGTGTGTGTATTAAGATGGAGGGTAATGTCACTGGTCGGGGGCTTGTCATTGGAACTTAGCCTTGTTTACTTTACCACTTACTACCGTCAAAACTGGGCCAGCAGAGCATATTCTGTATACTGTCTCCTATGCTTACCGTCAGGCGCCCAAAGAGGGATAGTCTTTCGCCAATCTGGCGAGTTTCTACAGTATGGTTGATTGGGGGTGTGTGTTGAAGTGGAAAGACTAGCGGTTTGGAAAGTGGTGCGAGCTAGACCGGGCGAGGCATAGCACAGAGCAGGATGTGACTCTGGCCGTCCCAGATGCCTGCTCGGGACCCACCAACACTACAAGGTACCCATCTTTCATCACCGACGATCATTCCTCCCTAGTTCGCTTGGTTAGCTATAAAAGGGACTACCCAAAGCTTTCTGTCAGACTTCAGATTTCCTCATCCTTTCACCCATCTTCCTTTGGTTGGTTTCTGCTCTATCATCGAGCGCTTTGCTCCCTCATCGTTCGCTTTCGTAATTTCATTCATCTTTTCTTACGTTAGCCATCCAAAGGTCGAACCATGCCTCCTCGGGGGCCGTTCATTGGGTGGCCCATGATCAGGAAGATCCTCAACTTCCCGAGTTCTTGTTCCATATTCAGCACGCCGACTCGCAAGCTACGTACTCGGATTCAGAGATTAGCATCAAAGCTGCGGATACCGCCTTCGGGCTGTCATCCGTGAGCGACGCGAGCGAATTGCTGGGCCATGCCATACGTCGCCAAGACTGGACCAATAGACGCCCCAGCCGCTTCATTTCGACGTTTGAGGATGCGGAACAGGCTCGTCAATGGGGCTACCTGCGCAACGGGCCAGTTTATATGTATATCATCAACCCCAGACTGTTGCCGCGAAGCGCTGGCAAGTGTGTGTTTTGGTTGTCAAATAGTCCTTACGAGTATTTGATTCTTGACCAAATTCCTCGTGATGCTATTGTCGCGAGCGAAAAGATTAGACCTCGTACGTGTATCAAACTCATCACATCTTCTTTCGTTCCGGGTCTAGCCAGCCAAGTATCTTGATTCTATTTCCGACTCTGAGGCCTCCCGTTGGTTGCAAGCTGTGGACCCGGAACAGGCATTCTGCGCTCTCATGTAACTGACTAACGAACGTCTAGGATCCATGACTACGTCTCAAATGGCTTCCCTGTAAGCATTTCTGTCGCAGTTGATAGTAGCAAGGATCTGACAAACGTCTAGGGCCGAAAGAAGCGAACGCCTTAGGCCATGGGCAGTTTCCCGCCATAATCTACCCCCGCGCCTATACTTTGTTCAACACGCCGGGTCCCAATCAACTCGTGATAGGGTCGATGTACTTGATGAATATGGTAACGCGGTTGCGTTCATAGACGCAATCGAGTCAGCCGTTCGCTCCTGCATCAAGTCATCATGGCCCAGTCAGTTCAAGATTCGATCGTTACCGTTCATGAACGCCCAAGATATCTCTACTTCGTGCAGCATGCCAGCTCTCGGGCCCGCATGACCAACCACGGCGGTTTCGATGCTGCAGATTACTGGACTACGCCACACGACTCCGCACATCTCCAACAGCTCATCACGAACCATGTGAACTGGGCGTGTAGAGTTCCTAGCTGCCTCATTTCCACGTTTGGTAGCTTCGACCACGCCTATAACTGGGGAATGCAGAGGCACCGACCGGTTACCATCCACCAAATTGACACCAATCAAATGCACCCACAGGAGCCGATCTTCAGAGCCTGTCATTTCACGCCCAACTGTTTTGACAGCGAATACCTGTTCCTTCACGACATTGCTGGTTACAGCATCACCCGCAGATACTCACTTCCCGGTTCCACTCCATCTAATGGTAGGTAGAGCTGGTTCGCGCGAGACTGTCAAAACATTTCCTGCGGCTTGAGCTAAAGTGTCTCTACAGAAAGAAACATGACAGTGACGAGAAGCGCCTGGTACTGAGCATACAACACACATAGCCTTGGGATTCTTCAATATGCTACTGTGTGTGTTCCCATCGTCGGGACAGCCAGGTGGGAAAGTCTGGCAATGTCCGGGTTTCAGGTTGCTCAATAACCGGGTATTTGTGGCGCAAAGCATACCTCTAGGGTATACGTAAAGAGATGGAGCATGTCACAAAAGGAACGACATGCAGTCACCACAAAGAAATGTCAGGTCAGTCGTGTTCATGTTGTCAACACTCAACACACATGGGCCCTGCATTGGTTCTCAAAATGCAACTCTGCTGTCCACATGGAAGATAATTTTTACCAGTTCGATTAGTAGCTCCAGCCACATTGGTCTGATGTTGCAAGCAGATCAGCAATGGGCAAAGGCCCGCCGTCTCGCGATATCAAAATACCGGGGATACCTAGGCAAGCCAGTACATAGGCAGGCTGTTGCCACAGCTCTCAATGGACTGGGCTGGCTTGATTGGCTTCCTCCGCAATATGCCCGGGCAAGAACTGTTTCGGTGGACTCTATCCAATGACACTCCACGTCCGTTCTCCGTATACATTACGGACTCCATGGTTTTTCGTCACCAGTGTTACGATTCATTATTAATCAAAGGATTACATGTGTAAATAAGCAGATAGATGGACCAATTAAAGCCTCACCGGCGCCACGGCCCATACTGAGAAACCAGTAAAAAGGAAGCCACCCCAGGCTTCCTCATACCGGTCCTCAACAGCTCCTACAATCGATCAGTACCCTTTGGCTACTACTACCGTTGTTCTATTGTTCTATTCCAGCGATAATACTCCTGTGCTCATCACGGTTTGTCAAACGGGTCTCGAATCGTATTGATGGCTAATGTAGTGACAGCTGGCACAGAAGTTCATCCCCACGTTACAATCCTGTTGTGACGAACCGTTACAAGCACAGGAGTATATCACTGGGAGGGAACAATAGAGTAACAGAGTAGTAGCCAAAGGGTACTGATAGATTGTGATAGCTATTGCTTGCTGAAGAGCCCAGTATTCAGGAAGCCTGGGGAGGCCTTCCTTTATACTGGTTCTTCAGTATGCGCCGTTGCGCCGTTGAGGCCATTCCCGGCCACCCGGCGTCCTTGCTGCGCCGTGGCCGCGGCGCCGTTTACTCACGGCGCCGGCGCCCGGCGCGGCCCTGATTGGTCTAACTAGCTGCTTACATAAGTGATCCCTTATTGGATCGTAACACCTGTGAAGGAACTTTGTGGTGGGGACAAAGGCGGCTGCTTTTTTCCCCTCACTCGACTGTCTTAATGGAGTCATTTTGAGCCTTTACCTTGTCTTGACTCTTGCCCTGACCCCTACAACACTTCTTGTTGCCCAGCCTAGTGAGGAATCTTTTCCAACAACATTGCTGATCGGCAACACCAGGTACTGAGCGCCTCTCACCAAGTCACAGCATCATGGCTCGCCGTCCTCGCCACGGTCGCCCCTGGACCTCTTACTCATTGCCCTACGATGACATCCCGAAGTACTTGTACTTTGTTGAGCACGCGGGATCCCAATCCTTTGAAGACAATAACGGCACCTTTTGGGCAGCTGACGGCTGCACCACAGGCCGCCGAGGTCTAGTTCGTCTTCAGAACTTGATTGACCAGCATGTTAACTGGTACAATCGGAGCGCTACGCGCTTTATTTCTGCATTCTCCAACTACAAACATGCACGAAACTGGGCTATGCAGCGTTACGGACCGGTCACCATCCACACAATCAACACCTGTCTTGTGTGCGAGGACTGTCCTCCCATCTTCTATGCGCCTAGATTTACTGACAACTGTTGGGAGACCAGCGAATACCTGTTTCTCAACTACATCCCTGGTCATTCTATCATTCGCAGCAGAACTCTCTGATGAGTAAGTGCATTACGGTAGCCCTGTTTTTTTCTGAATTTCAGGAATGCAACTGACACTGCAATGCTTACAGGGACAGTCCAGAGAGTTGGACGATTTCAAACTGTCGGTGGGGGCTCTGTCACCTACCGTATAGACTCGGGGCGTTGATTTTTAACTTCCAGGGAAATCAGGCATAAACAGTTACCATACTGCAACATTCATGCCCACTAAAAATTTTATGTAAGACGGTGATTTGAATGTCTCTACCCTCCAGCGCCCTTGGAAAGATAGGTGTGAAAAGGCACGATTTGGAAGAATCGAGTTTACAGTGATCCGGGGTGGCAGCAGGTCTCCCCCACTTAATTTGATTGGCATAAAATGCACATAATCGGGCAGTATCCTTACAGGTTATGTTTGATTGCCCTGGAAGTTAAAAATCAATGCCCCGAGTCTATACGGTACGTCTTGCTCTACTGTCAATGCAAGTTTGCTTTACCTCGGTGTTGTCATGAGAGGCAACGAGCTTCCAGGGAAGCAGGGTGTATTCAAAACGGACTGAAGGGGAAACTCAAATCAGCAAAGATGAAGCAAAGTGTAAATGTGGCAGATAACTAAGGAATAAAACGGAAACCGGAGAGAGCCGCGTTGGCAACAAACAAGCTTTTCGCGTGATGTTCTTGCTTTCCCTTTAACAGTAGAGTCGTTTATATCAACGGTTGCTTCAGCATTAGGATAACATCCATGGTTGCGGCCCACTTATCTCTCGGTCGTATGAACTTAGGGGATAAATGGAAAGCAGATCCGTAGGGCATTCAACGGCTGGCGGAAGTCACGTTTAAGAGCAGACAACCAGTCCAAATAGCAAGAGCATTCCCAACGGAATAGGTAGGGTATATGAGTGATTGCAATCCATCCAATTCTTTTCTGGCCCACATCATCTTCTTGTTCGTTCCGTACCTCTTTCAGCTCGTTATCCAGTACAATCCAAGGTCATTATCGATCATCATTATACCTGAATATCTTTGTCTTCCAATCCCTTTTCCACCACCATGGAGGACATTTTTCGACCTTGGACCCTTGCAGGCTGTTTCATGACGCCCGAACTCTTTCCTCCCCTCTTGTACTATGTGCGACATGGAACATCCCATACTCTGTTTGGGCCCAACGGCGACATCCTCACCAAAAACCCAGACAAGAGTCTTAACATCTCTTCCCGCGACGAGTTTGAAATGTTAGTCCGCGGGCATCTCAACTGGCAGACCAGGGGACCAAGCTTCTTCATCTCGACCTTTTTCAACAAGAGGGAGGCGTGGCGCTGGGGTCTGGAGCGCGAGCCCATGGCGGTCCTGTACACGATCGATACACGACGACTACCCGTTCCCTGGCCGGTAGTTTGCGCCGGAGTCCACACTCAGAACACGCTTGATGCCGACTTCTTGTTTCTTTCTCATATACCAAGCCAGGCTATCATCCGTATAGACACCGTCCGCCCCCACCTCCCGCAAGGCCTGGCTCCCGGCGATTATTCGAACCCTCCCACACCACCCACACTTGGATTTGTCCCTCCTCCTCCGCCCTATGTCGAGCCTACTCCTGGGCTCCATGTTTGGTTTGCGTCCCCGCCGCAAATCGCGTCACCGCCACAGTACTCGGCACCGCAGCACTTCTCGTCACCGCCGTATACCACACCTGGGCGGTACATCACGCCTGTGCCGCCTGTCGAACCCCCTCCTCAGGTTCCCTCAGTCAATGAAACATATGCCACATCTGAGCCCGATAACGCGGATGGGCCCGAACCGGATCCTTTGCCAGCGTCGTCTTCCACGTCACCGCCACGTACCCCGCCACTGCAAATCGTGGCAGGTCAGCTTGTCGAATTCCCTCCTCAGCTCTCACCTCAGCTTCAGGATGAGACGGCTGTGTCCGAGTTGCCGGTCTCTTCGGTGACGGAACCACCTATTGCGTCCGATTTGGAGCCGGGTGTTGAGCCCCAACCAGAGCTTATGCCACGTCAGCTTGTCGAGTCCCCTCCTCAGCTCTCACCTCAGCTCCAGGATGAGACGACTGTGTCCGAGCTGCCGGTCTCTTCGGGGACGGAACCACCTATTGCGTCCGATCCGGAACCAGGTACCGAACCCCAGCCAGAGCTGGGCCCCGAGGTAGACTCTGAGGTCACTGCTGCGCCTGAGCCCGAGATACCCGACCGCGTGCCTGGGACACCCAATGGCGTGCCTAGGATACCCAACGGCGTGCCTGGTCTACCCAACGGCGTGCCTGGGACATTTGTCCAGTCTCTCCCCATACGAGTTGCCCAGTCCAATCCTGGGACGCTTGCCGGTACCAGACTTGGAATTAATTTCTTTGCGACGGATTACATGGAGATTCCCGAGTCGCCCCGTTCTGAGCAAGCTGTCAACTCCGACCCGGAGGCGCCTGCAACTAACGGGATTCATATCAACGGCGTGGCTGGGACACCCAACGGCGTACCTGGGACACCTGTCCAGTCTCTCCCCGTACTAGTTGTCCAGTCTAATCCTGGGACGCCTACCGGTACCAGATTTGGAATCAATTTCTTTGCGACGGATTACTCGGAGACTCCTTCTCCCGAATCTCCCCGTTCTGAGCAAGCTGTCAACTCCAACCCGGAGGCGTCTGTACCTCTTACTAACGGGTTTCATATCAATTTCTTTGCGGAGGACTAAATGGTATGTTGAGCAGAGCATGCGCCTGATACTGAGCCAGCCATACATGATGCCTTGCTAATACGAATCGTTGAGGCACGTTGTAGTCTTTGGGCCGAGCATTACCGTCTGAGATACCTCCATGTTCGTGGGTGTAAGCGATCAGTTCTCTTGTGGATAAGAACATGCTCTCTAGCTGGAGGATGCTGATTTGTCTGGGCGACAGGGTGTTTTCTTGCTGCGAAGTGACACGTTTTGAGAATGTCTTATCAAGTATAGGGCGAGGTATGTTTGCATTGTTGACTATCTGTCGCTTCGTTTGATCCTTGGGACATGTCCAGCTGACGTCTCTTGTACTAGGTTCTTGCCCAGCGTACCAGACGAGCGCATTGGTTTATCACAGGAACATCGCTCGATATTGAGGATGGAACTGTGTGGAAGTAATATTTTATGAAGCCACATCTGCTTCTTAACAAGCTTCATCGAAATAGCGAATGTCTACATCAGATTTCACAGTTTCCTTCCTTCGCCTGAGAAATGCCACAGCCAGAACTTCTAACAACAGCCTAAGGTCCACAGGATCAAAGTCTTCAAGACAATAGCCTTGATCACCACTTGCAGACCTCACACCCTCAAGGTTTACCCGGCGCAGGTCCATCCCCTCCTCCATACTCAAACAATGCAAACTCTACCGTCTTCCTAGCAAGTTCCTCCTCCTCCACCAACCCCTCTCGCTCCGCAAACCACTTTTCTATCAACTCCTCCTCCTGCTCATGCCGCTCCTCCAACCACTCATCATAATCCATATCCATATCCTCCCCCTCCCTCCTTCTCTCCTTGGCGCGCGCAACAGCTCTCTTCCCCCTCCGCTTCAACGCCAAATACCTCTCCTTCCACGCCACCCTTTCTTCCATAGCAGCCATATCTTTTCCATCCTCTTCTTCTCCATCCTTCTCCTTCCCTTTTTCTTTCCTCTTCTTCGCCTCCTCTTTGGTCCTCTGGTCCATCTCATCAAGAAACAACCGCATCAGTCCATCATCGGTGTTCTCGTCGCCTGCGTACCCGCGCATAACCTTGATGTACCGCTGCGTGATCTCGCCCGTGTCGGGGTCATGTACCGTGTAGTCTTTGTGGCGCCAGACTTCGTATGGGTGTTGGACGCCGAAGGCGTTTTGGATGGATTCGATTACTTGCCGGGCTTGGGGAGTGCATTGGATGCGGGCGACGCCGCCTAGGGGGTAGTCCCGTTGGTGGAGGGTGATCATATAAGGGGTGGAGGAGGTGCGGTGGGAGGGGGTGGGGTTGGGGTTGGGAAAGGGGGTGATGGGAGGTTTGGTGGTTGTGGTTGTGGCTGTGGTAGCGGCTGTGGAAAGTCGGGGTTTGGGGGTCTTGGTTGGTCGGGCGGGATTGGGATTGGGGGTGATGGTGGCGCCGGTTTCGTCTAGTTGGATTGCTCGTAACTTTCGGGTGATGATGGTCTTGCCACTGAGGTTGGAAGGCGCTGTTGTTGTGTTTTCGGATTTGGTGCTGGCGGTTTCCTCTACGCTGGCCTGTCGACTTTGAACTCTTGTGGAGCGCCGGGGAGGTGCAGGTGCTGTTGCACTGCCCAAAGAGGCGGAAGGTGTAGCTGCATTACCGCTGTCGTTATTCTCCTGCAGGATTTCCTTGCCCTTGTCTTTCTTGTCGGCAACCTGCACTTCTTTGGCCCTTTCTTTCCTGTTTGTCGTCTTGGATGTCTGAACCTCCTCAGCATCAATGATTTCCATGTCTTCACACTCTTCGTCAAGCTCTTCCTCAACTGTCATTCGCACATTCTCCTTCCCTTCTTTTTCACTCCCCTTCGCTCTACCGCTGACAACAACAGCATTATCACTCTCCTCTTCCTCTTCCTCTTCATCCTCATCCTCATCCTCATCCTCATCCACCACCTCCATCCTCTTCACCCTCTTCACCTCCCTTGCTTCGGGCTCCTCCACAACAGGCTCCCACTCCCCACACACTTTCTCACTCCACACACAAACCCCCAACTTCTGCATCTCCTCCCCACTCATCCTTACCGCCTTATACACATGCCACTTATCCATCATCACCCCCGAATTCGGCTCCACCTTTTGGTTTCCGACCCCCTCGGCGATTCTGCTCACGATGAACTCCGCCCTAGGGTATAGTAGTCCGATGACAGAAAGGTATCGTGCCTCGACGAAGACGGTGCGGTTGAAGGGTTCACGACGTACCGAAATGGGAAGAGCGCGCGGGTACATGTCGTTGTAGAGGACGGGCATGCCGCATGCGCGGAGGTAGGGCTGCAGGGAGTCGGTGGTGCCGAGTTGCAGGGAGCGAGGGGGGTTCATGGCGAGGGAGAGGAGGGCGGGCGTGAAGGTTCCCGGGATGCGAGGGGGGAAGGGGGAGAGGAGGAGGGGGTGTTGGATTGGAGGTGGGAGAGCGAGGAGGGGTTGGAATTGGGCCATGTTGGTGAAGCGAGGTTGCTGGGTTTGGTCGTTGCTTTGGGTGTGCTGCTGAGTACATGTAATATCGCGGTGAGGGGGTTGAGGTGAGGTGTCTTTGTCTTCAATGGGGGGTTTGGGGGCGAGTGGGTGTAGGTGATGGCGATGTGGACCACGGCGGTGGGTAGAGGTATGTATGGTATCTGTAACTTCCACGACTTCCTTTACTGATGTATCTTGTAATGAGCCTTGGAGCGGGCTCGCGGGTCCATGTCCTGAAGTTGTTGGTTGCGGATTGTCGGGCGCAGTACTCGCAGTTGCTGAGGGGCCAGGGATAGCTGTTCTCATGTGGTGTCGCACTCCTTCGGTTTGAGAGTTCAGGTGCTGGCCATGTCGAGAAGATTCACCGTCTTGCGGTCCGGAGACGTTGTCAGTACGAGTCCTCCCATCTGCGGACAAAGATCGGCCACGCTCAACAGCCAAGTCTCTGCCCGGAAGCACAGGTCGTGCTGCAAAGAGGGGCCGCCAAAAGTCTTCGGGGGGTGGAATATAGTCGGAGTAACGAGTCGAATAAGGTACTCCAGATGGAAAAGATAGTCCAGTTCCAGGACCAAAGCGCCGCAAAATGCTGCCCCGTGGGGGAGTAACGATTTCCATACTGACAGCTCTAGGTCTGGCATTCTCTTGAGATTCCGGTCTCTGAAGGCTGGGATCGTGGGATGCGGACTCCACATCCGCATGGCTTGCCGCTTCGGCTACACCCTGCTCGATCTCCATGTCTGCCACTGGAGGTATAGTCACGCTGTCTAGTAGCAAGTCTATGTTGTACCTTCGCGGTCGCTGAAACTGCCCCTCACGTCCTTGTAAGTCTTCTTCTTGTCCTTGACGAGGCCGCTTTGGTGTCACGTTGTTTTGCGGAGGGCTGGAGCTGGGAATCCCAACCTGAGCCTCTCGACCAGGCTCCCAATCGTCCAAGTCCATTTCCATGTCGCCGTTGTCTGGTCTTGAAGGTCTTGCCGGGGTTGCGGTTAGAGAAGTCAACGGGCTGCTGTCAGGTTCATCCTGGAACCGGAATGGGCCCTCATCCGCCTCCGACATTGGTCCTTGACCGAATCCGCGACTAAAGGCTCTTGGCTTGCTTTTAGTGGGTGATTGGACGTTGGCTCTGACACTTCTGTCTTGGTTGCGATGAGGTGTTCTGGCTAACGGGGAGGCTCGGACGTCGCCTTGCGACATGCGGTTAGAGTGACGTGGGAGTGATGGGCTCGACGCCGCTTGCTGGAAAAAGACTCGGCCATCTTGAGGAGGAGAGTAAGCGAGGGAAGAAGGGTTGAACGCTTGGTGGTGATGGATACTTCCATCTCGCGAAAGAGAGGGACCCTGAGGGCTGTATTCAGGGTTTGATTGAGAGTTAAACCGAGAGATCACTTGAGGATTGACGTGAGGGTTGGAGAAAGCGTTGGGATGATGGAGGTCCAACTGCTGCTGTTGATAGATACTACCATCCCCAGGAGGAAGGGAAACGTGACGGTTGGGTTGAAGCTCGACCTGAGGGTTGTACTGATGGACGTCCAGATGCGGGTGTTGATAGACACTGGTCTGTTCAACGGTATTGCTCTGGCTGGTTTCTGCAAGCAGCTGAGGTACCTGTTGAGGGAGACTTGGTTGATCAGCGGCATCGCTCTGGTTGCTTTCTGCAAGTAGTTGTGGATCGATCACGTCGTCGGGGATGTCAGCTGTATTGGAGCGCCAGATGACATGTTCGCCTTGGTCCCCTGGCGCGCGACGATAAGGGTACATGATGGGCAAAGACTTGAGTCCTTGCTGGAGGACTGGATACTGTAAAGTCTAGAATTGTATCCGGCTGATCAATGTTGTTGTCGGTCTGCGTTGAGATGTTGTTGAGGTGCTCAGCCTGAAGTGAGGAGGTGACTTCGTTGACTGTGGCATGGGTGAAGGAAAGAGAAAGTCTGACACGACAAAGGAAGGGCTGCAAAGTCAAAAAGAGTATACTGCCTGTCGCGTCTTAGGACACGGACGCGTTGCCGGCCGCCGGAGTGGTGGTCGGGCAAGCGAGGAGAAGTTGAGAGAATGGTCAGGGCGCTGCTGGTCACCATGTCTTCGCGGGCTGTCTTGCGTTTCCTTGGGAAATATAAACTCTGCTACAAACCCTTGAAGACATGTTTGTATCCACGTAGAGAGCTCAGTGATCTATCAAAGGCTTCATTAGTATCTCTTCTCAAGCAACAAAAAGGAGGCTACGAAAGGAAGCCACGGACAAAAGAGACGCGGTCAGGGCACCCAACCACAAACAACAAAGTTGTGTTACAGCCAAAAAGTGAAAAAGAGATGCTCGAACCAGGTTTCGAACCTGGGACCTCCAGTGTGTGAGACTGGCGTGATAACCACTACACTATTCGAGCGTCAGTTGTTGTTGTAGTTTTCTTGCTGATGATGGGCTTAAGAGGCTGACTTTACCTCCCGTGTTCTCCAGCAGATACTCCCTTGTATTTTGACTGGTTACAATCGTGAAAGGTTCCAACTTGGGTAAAATGAAACTCTGTTCCAACGGAACCCATAGCTAATGTATCTATTCATCCTAACAGTCATGCCACTCTAGAGGTATCTTCCTTTCTTCTCCTAGCTCACCAGCTCCCTATTAGAGTTGCTTACCCCACCTCTTGACAGCCGTTTCCCTTCTTCCCTTTCTTTATTCCCATCCTTTATTCCCTTTCCCCTCGTGTCTCCCAGCATAAAATACCTTATTCTTCATCCCTTGGTTGCTCTTCCACAGTGCTTCCCGTTATTTCACCTTTCCCTCCATTCTTTCATTACTGTACCCTTCAACTTGTCGTAGTAGAGGAGGACGACGTGGCTGTGGATGGGCTAGCGGTAGAGGTAGAAGAGCTAGAGGATGTAGAGTTAGTGCCGGAGGAGGTGGTAGACCCAGTGGAAGTGGTCGTAGTAGTGGTCGAACCGTCGAGCCAGTGGTGGTGGTACTAGTGGAGGTGATGGAAGTGCTGGAGGAGAACGAGGAGGACATTTTAATGTTTTGCTAGTTTGATGCGATGATAGGAACAATGCTAACCGTGCTATAGCTGGATGTATTTGCGAACTTTGTGAAGTAGATGATGGTTGCTGAGGAAGCGGCGGTCCTTGTGCTCCTTATAGCGTTAAGTTGGAGCGTTGAACACTGATACAGGGAGGAGATGTGTAACAGCGTGTATCTAAGGTTTCGTTGCTCATCTTAGCGGATTAGCGGTTGCCAATCCAGAGAGGGCTTGTGAAATTGCACGAGTTTCTGTTTGTTTCATCTTCACCAGTTAGAGGGTCAATGAGGCTACTGCAAAGTCTAGACTGCGCAAAGCTGAATTTATTCCATCTAGTGTAATCCTTTCTCTAGTGCACTATGCGCATCCTACTGGTACTCATTTGTTCCTGATTTCCTCTAGGTTTGCCACCACTCTTGCCTCACTTCCATTCCTACACCCCTCTTGCTCTGAACCTCCCGGCGTCAACCATTCTAACTGCTCTTCTTCTCCGGCCCCAACCAGTACTGCGCTTGTCCCTCGATTCTGAGCCGCTCAATGTAGGAGTACCCAGAGCTATCGGTGGTCTTTGAAGTCGTTGACGTGGAGGATGAGGATGAGGATGTAGTGGTGGAAGAGTTAGTTTGGGTTGTGGTGGAAGTGGAGAATGTATGTTCACCACTCGTGGTTGTGGATGAGGTGTCGGTGTTGGATGATGACATTATGGTCTTTCAACGGTGTGAATGGAGGTCAATCTGTGACTGGAGCTGGAGATGGCTGCATTGAATGATGGCCGTTGCATAAGAAGGCACTGGCTCTTGTGCTACTTATAGAAACACTTTTGAACGCCAAAGTTTCTAGCAGAGAAGAGATACGGAGTTGTTTGTGCCGTTGATGGATCATGGCAGTTGAGGTGCTCTTGTACACCAAGGATACCTAGAGGTAGCTTGGCATGCTTTGATCTCCAAATCTGCTCATCTCATCCTCATAAGCCAAGAGTCCATCAACGCGATGCTTTGAGTCCAATTGGAGGTCTAGACCCAAGCATACATTCGGTAGCTATACCAAACATACTTTACTCACTCCTAAATGGTTGGTCAATGTCTAGAACCTGCCGATTCAGATTGAAACATTGCGGAACATCTGTTCGCTGGATTCGTCAAGGTATAAATACCTCAACGTCCACTCTCGACTAACGAACTTGAGCAAACAAACACACAAGGCCAACCAAGTAGCCTGTTACGCTTCAACATCTTATTACCTCTGCTGACGCAGTCAAGATGTTCGCCCCGTTTACCTCCACCAAGACCACCGAAACCGGTACTTCCACCTCCACCACTGGTCAAACGCAAGTCAACCAGCCCTCTTCTTCCCCTACCTCGACTTCAGAGAATAGCAGCGGGAACAACCATTTGTACATGTCGAAGGGCAAGACCTGGAGTTTGACTTCTGGTTCGGGCTCCGGGTCCGGGTCTGCATCGGGATCTGGGTCAAGCTCGGGGGAGAAGTGTGACGTCTTGTAAATGTCCCGTGTGATACATGATGTGAAGAGGAAAAGATGGAGGTTTCTCCGAGTATTGAGACATGAGAGAGATAGAACGGGACAAATGAAGCAAGAGGAAGTGACAAGTTGATCAACAAGGCTCAAATACGACGGCATTCACACTTGATGCTTCATGTTTCGTGCGTCATGACTCTCGAATTCATGCGAATGCATATCGAGAAATGAGATGACCTTGACGCATCACTCCATATCTTTTGAAGTTGGGCAATCACTCGATTCCCAGTGTGTTGTGGATCGGTATAACTACCAGCCACTATCTCTGGTAGTATCGCACGCCTTTCTTACACTCCAATAACAACATTATCGATAGCCGGAACGCTTTCCAAGAACAGTACGCTCGAACTGCCCGGCAAAATGTCGTCCTCCAACTCAGATACAAACAGCTACCTCTCCCCACCCAGCAGCACCTCCACGACAACTTTGTATGAGAAGACGCCGTCGTCGTCCTCTCCACAGAACTCCACTACACTCGGCAACAACCCGATAGCGCCGCAGCACTCAGTACCCACAGCGCCGTGAACCCCACTGAGTCCACTGAACCCCTGAATGACACAGGGTCCAGCGCTCCACCCGCAAAAAACACCTGGGCATTCCTGGACAGCATAACCCAACCTCCCAGACATCAAGGTTCCGCGATCGATCGATCGATCATGAACATGAATGAGGCCGGTCACCGAGCAGAGCGCCGAGTGGCCCAACATCTTTTTAGTGTTCGACGGTCAGTCATTCAAGAGCTTGTATCGGGAGCGGGCCGCGTACCCCTTGCCGATAAATTGAGGTGGCAGGTTCGGCGATCAGTACACTCGGCGAAAGAAATGCGGCGGCGCACAACCGAGAAAAAAGAGCCAAGCCTTTTAGGCAATAGCTTGTTTGAACGTTCGTGGACCAGGTCGAGTCCGTCCTCCCTCGCAGGGTTGGGTAGGGCTGGGCTGGTTTTTTTTCATCGAATCAGGGATGATGGGTGGTTGTACAACGTATTTCCGATCACCACCGAAGCCATTCATTTCGAGGGTGTGGGTCCGTGGTTCATCGAAACTGGGTCGTCGGTGATGGGTGTTGGTTAGCGCCAGGAACGAGTACGCTAGGCGTTCGGCGGATGACTCAGGACTGCCCTGACTGTTCGGAGTCGGAGGACGGAGTCGGAGGACGGAGTCGGAGGACGGAGTCGGAGGACGGAGCGTGGTGCTGTGGAAGCATCAATGTCTCTGGCTCCGAGACTTGAAAAGTTCGAAAAGAGTTTGGGCCCTGATGTGATCTGTTTGCAGGTATCACAAAGAAAACATGGGTGGGATAGATAACGGTATCTCGGAGCACTTGTGTGCTGCCGGCCGGCAAATATGTAACTGTTCGCGGCATCATGATCCCTTCCGAAACATTTCCACGCGGAAGAGAGACAGGCGAATTCTCCATCAAACTTCCAGGTAAGGAAACTCGCTGAATTCATACAAGAGTTATTTTTCCTTTGTTTCTTCCGCCATTGACGTCAGTTCCTAATAACACATACGGGGAACTTTGGATCGCCCACTCGCCCTGCCGATTGCACCATCGCTTGATAACATATCGGGGACAAGGTAACTTGCGACATACAGTGAAGATCAGTGATGGGATACAACATTTGCGCCCTTTGACATTGACATCGTGTGGTTCCTATCAATTGATTGCTTGATACCTACGCTGACAGACAGACCGCATCGATGTGTCAGACTGCTCGTATGCCCGACCTATTGCCGAGTCCAGTAAAACTACTAGCAAAATGCAAGGGTCAAATATTCCCCGACCCAACCAACATTGGTGTAACATTTTTTGACCTGCCGCCGCGCATGCGACTTACAAACCTGGATGCCAATGGTTTGCTTTTTCGGTCGTCCTTTGCAGATGGATTTGTCAGGTTCCATTGATATGCTTAACTCCGGTTTCGAGCCGACTAACAATCCTTCACACTATATCTATGCTACCGACCCAGCTGCATGTCCCCCTTCGTCTGAGCCTTCCTTTGATCTCTTCGATCCGTCGCAAACTTTTCTTGACGTACAGTCCAGGGACGAACCGTCCCGGCACAAAGACAATCCGTCCGGTGTGTGTCAAGTCAAGATACCAACACGCTTGCCCTCGCGTGCATTTTCGCGACCGCAAAAAAATGGCACCAACAACCTTCCCCGACCGCACCACCCACGGCCCCTCCACCGACGCCGAAGGGAACCTCTCCGACCAATCCACCGCAACCGGCATCTCCTCCCCCTCCCGCGCCTCCTCCGAGAAATCCTCCCCGCACGTAACAGCCGCTCCTCCTCTCACCGACGGCGCCACAAGTTCTGTCGCCCCCGATGCCGAAAAGCAACAACAACCTCCCACCACCGCAGCATGGAACGCAGGCCCCCCGCCCCCCAACGGCGGCCTCGCCGCCTGGCTCCAAGTCGTCTCCGTCTTCTTCATCTTCTTCAACACCTGGGGCCTGCTCAACACGTTCGGCATTTTCCAAACCTACTACGAATCATCCGAATCCATCTTCCAGCCGCCTGGTTCCGTCTCTTCCTCCAACATCAGCTGGATCGGCTCCATCCAGTCCTTCATGGTGCTTTTAGGCGGCCTGGTCTCCGGCCCCTTATACGACAGGGGATACCTGAAGTACTTGATCTACGTGGGCGCCTTCGGCGTCGTGTTCGGACACATGATGCTTTCGCTGGTCTCCGAGTTCTGGCAGGCCTTGCTGGCGCAGGGGTTCGTGGTGGGGCTGGGCGCAGGCATGATGTTCACGCCGGGCGTGACGGTTTTGCAGAGTTATTTCTCTACGAAGATCGGACTGGCGACGGGTTTAGCGGCGGCAGGCAGTTCGTTTGGAGGCGTGGTGTACCCGATTGTGTTTTACCGGCTGATTGATCGGATCGGATACGGGTGGAGCGTGCGCGTGATTGGGTTCATTGCGCTTGCGACGCTGATGGTTCCGGTGGTTTTCTTGAAGCAGAGAACCAAGTCCGGAAAGGTCAGGGCTCTGGTGGACGTGTCGGCTTTTACGGATGGGCCGTACGTGTTGTTCACGTTTGGCACGTTTGTGGGGTTTATTGGCTTGTATGTCATGTTGTTTTACCTGAGTTTCTTTGGGTTGAATACGGGCGCGACGGACCCGGCTATGGCGTTCTATATTGTGCCGATTCTGAATGCGGCGAGCATGTTTGGTCGGACGCTGCCGAATTGGTTGTCGGATAAGGTGGGCCCGTTCAACATTTTGATTCCGGGCGCGTTGGTTTGTGGCGCTTTGACACTGGCTATGATGGGGGTTAAGGGTCTTGGAGTAAGTCTTCGCTTTGCTCTTCCGTGGCAGTCTTTATGGAGACACTTTGCTAACTGCTGTTGTGTTCAGGCCATCATCGTCGTCGCTATCCTCTTTGGCTTCTTCTCTGGCGTCTTCATCGCCCTTCCGACCGTTTGCTACATCGCTCTCACCAAGGACAAGTCCCGCCTCGGCAGCAGAATCGGCCTGGGTTATGCCTTCCTCGGTCTCGCGACCCTCATCGGCGGTCCCGGCACCGGCGCGATCCTACAACAGACTGGTCATAATGGGCATAATAACTGGACAGGAATATGGGTGTTTGGTGGTGTCATGCTTCTTGCTGCCAGCGGCATATTTATGGTCTTGAGGAGTTGGAAGTTTGGATTCAAGTTGACGACAAAGGCATAAACGCGGATGATGGCATTACGACATGAGACTATAAATGATTGAGGCTGAAGACAAAGGGATATCGGTTGGGGGTGTGTAGGTGCGTGTGTATACTACTCTATAATGTAATAAAAACCTAGACTTCACTCCTCTATCTTCTCGTATTACTTAAAGCTTGCAGGAACTGTCTTAATACATCAGAGAATCAATACGTGTATGCGGAGACGGAGTAGTGTCCCAAGACAGGTGTCCACGTATCACCTCGATGGGCAATGAGAGAACGCATGTGGGCTGTGCTCACCTTAGGATGTTTTCCGCTGCTCCTATAATCTATATTTGAAGCTTGTCAGCCTCATCAAGACGGAATGCGAACACGGAGCATGCGACCAGGTAGGAGAGAGGGTTATGGCACCTGGTCGATCCGCTTATTAGTCGGCGACAGAGGTGAAAGTTTGAGGTCAGTGTTGGATGTTGCGTGCATGCAGGTGGTCATACGAGGAATCTGGTCAATCACTACGGGTGACCAAGGGAGTGAGCTGACCACTGCAATTCACCCCAAACAAGTGTGTAAACTAGTTTTAAAGGATGGGCTGGCGCCCTCCCTTCGTCTCTTGGGAGGTCAAGCAATCAATCATCTTTTCCCAACATTCTGACAGTCAGAAAGTGGCTTCGACAGAGGTACTGTAGATTGCCAACGGAAGGGGAACAAGGGAAATCAAGGCAGCCTGAAGCCCAAGAAGGGATTGTACTACGAGCAACTCCAACACGGAACCCAACATTGGAAAGCAATAGATACACAAGCGCCTATGTCCTTATCTTCCACAAAACCTTGAAGACAGAGGGGTATCTAAAACAAAGCGAAAATCTGACCCCGGACGCCACACATGGAAAGTATCTCTAACATCATCCCATCACTTGTGTTTTACAGAAGGCACATATGAGCAGTGAAAACAAGACCAAACAACCAAATCGCGCGCTCTCCGACCCTGGAGTTGTTTTCTTGACCCGGAAGGCCAGCAAAACTTCTCCTAAGAAGCCGTGAGAAGCAACGGCGCGATAAGGGATGAAGTCAGGGATCTGCTCAAGGCCACTTCCGACTCTTCCCTCAACTGTCGATCCACCGCCGCCTGCATCAGCTCATCGTCCATGTCCTCTTCGATAGCGAGGCAGAAAAGGTCTGGCTCCTGCAGTAATTGTTGCTGGTGCTTGTAGGCGGACCACCTCTGACCTTCCTCGTCCAGCTGAAGGTGAATGAACACCTTGTCCACAATTTCTTGATGGCAGAAATTTTCCCACTGTTGTAAGTCCTCTTCGAACTGGCGCTCGATGAGCGCCTGGTCCGCTCTCTGACCTTGAAGCATCCTGTCATGTTCAAGTCCGCTTTTAAGAAGAAGATGCAGTCCGCGAGGCATACAGTGTCGTCATCGTCGTCGTCGTCGTCGTCGTCGGGATGCTCCTCCTCCACCGAATCAACGAGAAAGACGTTTCTGCGCAGTCTTCGAGCTTTCACCGCAATAACGTCGGCACGTTCGTTGCCCTCGACACCAACATGGCCCGGCACCCACCGGAGATGGACCGTCACGTCAAATCCCGGAATCAGCTTCAGCTCCTCGCTCTTCTGCCGAACAAGTTTCATCACCCGCGTGTGGCTGTCCTTCCGAGCGCTCCTTGGAGTCGCCCTGCCATCGATCATCATAATGACATCGTAAGCATCCGACAGGATGCTAACTGTTACTCTTCTTCCTATCTCGCTTGGGCTGCACTTCTGTAGCTGCCTAATGACCACTTCAAAAGCCTGGGCGATGCCTATGCCTTCTCCAATGGTGGTGTCCTCCAATCCAGGCATGAACCAGCCCATCTCCAGGTATTTTCCGTAATGCGGAGTTCCGGGGGAAGAAGTTGCGGTACACGGTCGAGTATCCGCCAGGAGCGGGACCAGAACAACCACGCGGCCTGGAGGCATCCGTGAAGATGGCGATCCTGATTTCTTCAAGTGTTGAGTATTGGGTAAAGCCGCTAACAGCTCGGGCTTGTATGCTTGCCACTGGCTTGTTTCTTGTCAAGGAAACGTTGCCGCGGAATTTCAGGCTGTCGTAGGAGTCTGGGAGTGGAAAAGTTTTAGCATCGGGAATTTGTGCTGTTTAGGTACAGGAGCCAGGTTTGAGTGATCCCCGCTGGACTCCAACAAGCGCGCGTCGCGGAATTTCCTCGCACATTGGAGTGATCATGTCATGCGGAATTGCTGCTGGCGTTGAACTTGGCCATGTTCGCCCAGTGCCATTAGGTCCCGTTTATCGCGCTCGCTAGTGGTCTTCATGTTCGAGGTACTGACCGGATCGTCTCGCTCGTTTTGCGGCGTCTTGACATTCGTTCTCGGGCTGCCCCATTGCTTGCCTTTTGCTAGCCATCGTGAGCCAGGGGGGCGGCCAGGCGCATGCATGGAAGGCACTGGAAACGCGTCGTTTGTAAGCTAACCACGGTACTGCGCTGCCACCGATGAGGTTAGAGTGTAGTAGGGTGTTCAAAGTCTTGTACGCTTGCTTGGTAGCCCCTTCGAATGTTAGGACCATGAAACCAAATTTTCGCGACCGGAGATTCGAATGATTGCGGGGCAAGTGTATCTTGTGTAAGTTCGTAAGGAAAGTTACGCGCGGCCCATGGGAAAGAAGGTGGATGGTCGGAAAGTTCAACTGTCAAAAGATGGGATGAAGTTCATGTCCACATATGATGATATTCCACCTTGAATTATTTGAATAGTTGACTTCGAGCAAAGAATGGTTAGGTAGTCTTGAAGATCTCTCTGGTTCTCTGTCTGCATACATACATGTTTGTTATTCACATCATGTTAGCACACGTTTCTCTGCCACCTTTACGTACGAGGTGGATCTTCATCTTCAGCTCTAACCTCCATGCTTGTCTGCCATGATCCCGGAGGTTCACAACAAATAGTCTCCGGGCGATTCGTAGGTCGTAAAAGGGCTATCCGTCCCCAGCTTTAGAAGCCAGCTTCAAGTGACCACCGACGTTCAACAAATGCGATTAGAGACGGTACTTCGTTGTTGTGAGAGACAAAGTCTCGATGGCTGCCCGGGCACAACGTGGCACGTTCAGATGCACCTCAAGGGAGAGTGGTTTATAAATAACAAATTCAGAGCAAACAGTCAACAAATTCAAATGGACCGGTGGTCGAGCGGCGTAGTGCGTAGGTTGCGCATTGCGTGGGGCTACAGTGGGCCTGGGTCAAGCTGGGATCAGCATGTTACGATCCAACCAACAAGCTTAGATAGATTGACCAATCAGGAGGGTCCCGGGGTCCCGGGATAACGGGACTACGGGACGGACCCGAGGTTCCGAGATAACGGAACTACGGGACCGGCTGAAAGCTAGTATATAAGAAGGCCTCCCGGCCTTCGTTATTATAGCTCTTCAGCAAGCAATAGCTTCTACAATCGATTAGTACCTTTCGGTTATTACTACTATTGTCCATCCTAGCGATATACTCTTATATTCGTAACGGTTCGTTATACGTTGCTTATTCTTTATTTTGCACACTAGTATTCTAAGATTTGCTACTATACCTAAATAAGTTTCCTTACTAATTTACTAAATTTCCTTAAAACTACTTTAACCTTCTACTATTATATTTAAAAATCCCGTTAAACAACCCTCCGGAGGACCTATTGGAACTGGACTCCCGGGCACTGCAATTAGAAACCCCGGTCCCGGAACGGACTCTATAATTAGTATTAAAAATAATGATAGTCGTAAGATTACGGCCGCTAAACTTCGTATTAAAAAGGCTGAAGAAACTATACGCCGCTTCGATACTTAAAGTAAGAAGCTAGCTACCTTCATCCCCGCTATTACTAAAATTACTACTATAGTAAAGCTTTGCGAAATTATTAATAAATTGAATGCAAGGGTCTTATCCGATTATGTAATTTATAACGACCCCCTCCCTAAAATTAAATTCAACCCGCCTCCCAAATTTAACGGTACTAAAAAGGAAGACCTCTAAGGGTTCCTTATTCAAATTCGTACTAACTTAAAGTTCTCTAATATTTAGGACCCTATTTAAATAGTTTTATATACTATATCCTTCTTAACCGGCAAAACTTTTAAGTAGTTCTAATCTACTCAAACTAATTATCTTAGACACAAATAGCCCAATATATATCTTAAGACTATTTAAATCTTCAACGATTTCGATTATTTCGAGGGCGCTATTAATTAAGTCTTTAGTCTTACTAATAAAATCTATTAAACTAAGATTAAGTTAAACGAATTCTGCTAAATTAAATCGGCCGCTTCCTACGTAACCGAATTTAAATAATTCGTATTCCGTATTAATTAAAATAACAAAGGTCTTAAATACTAATTTTACTGAAATTTAAAGAGTAATGTTAAAAATAAATTTATTAAAATCGATTGTAAAATTGGAACCTTCGATGAGTATATAAATAAGGCCATTATTATTAATAATCGTCTTTTCGAACGTAAATGTAAGAAAAGATTAGGTAATAATTACCCCCGCGCTAATATTAAGTATAAATATTAATATAATAGTAATAATTATAATAATTATAGTTGTAGTACTACGTATAGTATATACGCTAGCCCTATAAATATAAATGTAATTGACAATTGTAATTGTAATTAACGCAAGCCTATCGGAAATCCCGGCAAAGATAAGAAATATTTTAAATATAATAAGCCCGGATACTTCGCCAAAGACTATTAAAATAGAGGCAATAAATGAAATAATAATTATTAGTCTAATGGATAGAAGCCCGTCCCTATTTATTCTACTAATTTAATTAGTAAGGGTAAGGGTAAAAATGTTAATAATATTGAAATCAATTACAATTTCGCTACTACCCTTATTGCTACTATAAGTAATAACGAGCCTCTTTATACTATTTATATAATAAATTATAATAATGGGTCTATTAATAATTATATAACTTTTAAAGAATATAATTAGTACGAATAATTCGAGCGGGAGTATTAAAATTTCGAAAATAAAAAAGAAAACCTCTCTAAAGAGGCTACTCCCTTTATCTCTAATATTCAATCCTATATTTACACTCCGCTTATTTTTGATAATTAATCGTACGCCCTACTTACCCCTATCGTTGAAGAAGAATAGCTATTTAGTATTATTAAATGTAATAAACTTACTATTTATATAGACTTATCCAATACTATAAAATCCAATTCGGATATAAATACTACTGAATATATAGATTGTACCGAAAGGCTCTAATAAAAACTCAACGATCTAAGGCGCTTTAATAATTACAAAGCTTCTAGAACTAAAGAATTCGAAATTTAAAAGACCGCGTATAATTAATAATACTATAATATTTACTAATAGAATAGGGGGACCTATGAAGATTCCCTCTATAAGTCCAATAAACGATTAAAAGAACTTATTATATTTATTTAAATATTATTCTAAGGACTTAAGAAAAAAATCGTAAGGGATACTAAATAAATTTATAAGTTCGGTTTAAAGAAAAGGTACAACCGACAGTTCTAAACCGAGTACTATATAGAGCCCTTTAGCGAAGACGAATTCGTTAAAACCTACCCCCTAAAATAAATACTCTAATTAATCGGAATAATTACTTTTAATGCAAATATTTATACTATTTACGATTAACCCTAGGAATTGCAAGTTGGGGATTACCTACAAATCTACCTAGACTATCCTTTATACGGGAAAATTGTTTAAATTTAATACTTATACAATATTTACTTATAATACTTATTATATAAAATAGAATACAATTATTTCCCCTAACGTATTTAGGAAAATAATATCCCTATTCCTATTAAAGAAATGTACTATAAGAACTCTATAAATCTATAGGATACCTGTACCTAGGATAGGAAGAAGGGAGGTTACTTTATAAAATTTATATTAAGGAAGAGTACTTATAGGGATATATAGAATCTTTATATATTTGATATTAAAATTATTACTAAATTAATTATATTATTTATATAACCGATAAAGCTCAGTAATAATACTCTAAATAAGTTTTAAAGGAAAAAGGGTACTACCGTCCGCTATACCTAATTATTAGGAAAGAGGAAACTGTAATAGCATTTTTTAGCGCTAATAAGGCAGTCGGCGGCTCTAAGCCCCTAAAGAAATACTACATTCGCAAAGGACGTAAAAGGTAGGGAAATAGTAATAACTCCTTGCGAGAAGACTAAATAATTAACCCGCTATAAATTCTCGAAGTAAATTGAAATAACAATTCGATTTACTAAGTCTAAATAGATTAGATTTAACCGTTTAAGGGAACCGCAATAGCTATAATCGATTTAGGGTTATCGATTAACCTTATTACACCCCAAATTATAAACGATTAGAAAATTTTATAAATCTATAAGAAAAGACTATATAGAATATATATATTCGAAGGGAAGAGCCCCAACTATTAGTAGGGTTAAATACTACGGGAAATAACTCCGCTAAAAATTATAATAAATAGAAACAAATAAGAAATAGTCTTTAATATTACTCTTATTAATAAATATAATACTATATTAGGAAGACTCTAGCTTAGAAAATACAATCTAAATATTAATTAGAACACTAACCAAATTAGAAATAGAAAGAAGGCAATACCAGAGGCTCCTAATATAGAAATCTTAATTATTAATAGAAAGGATTAATACCTTTTATTATACGAAACTACGCTACCCGAACTATTAAGGATAATTATATTTATAAATAATGCTAAGGAAGAAATACTACCTCCCGAATTATCTCTTAGTAAAAATAATAAATTCAAAAACGTTCCTATATAGTACTAGAAATATAGAATTTTTTAAGGTTCGTTGGAATATTCTTTACTAGAATATAGCCTATAAGACTATAAAATACCTTTAAAAAAAGGCGCTAAACCTAAGTATTAGAAGATTTATTAGTTGAATATTATTTAAATA